GCCCCCCCCCCCCGCCCCAAATAAGTGCAATAAAAACAAGCAAACAATAACGGCTAGAGGTGCTGCTCAGGGGTAGAGTGCATGATTGCCTGCATTAGCCTTGTGTTAGATCGAAGCACCAGAAACAAAACAAAAACCTTGGCATGTATCCAGTACAAAAATTACACAGAGAAGGTTAAATTCTTAGAAAACAAGGATAACTGACTTTGATGAAAACAAGCAAGTCAAAAGTTTTTGTTTGAGCAACTCTGTCAAAGATTAAGCAGATACTCAGTCATTCATCCTTCAAACAGAATGAGTAACTACTATGTGCCAGGAACTGTTACAGGTACAAGAGCAACATCTGCCGGCAAATAAAGGTTGCTAAGGTTCCAAAGAAAGCATAAGTCATCATTCCAACAATATTGAGAGTCAAGTATGTGCCAGGAATTGTTATAGGCATAGAGACTAGAATCTGTCAATAAAGAAAGACTACTAAATTACCAGAGAAGACATAAAATAAAAATATTAGGCAAATTTGAAAGAAGTGTTGGAAAAAAGCAATTATACTTTAACACTTTAACATTATGAGAAACACGAAGCATAACAATACAGGGGACAAGAGGAAAGAAAACAGGAAAGAAAACTTTAACTTTCTTTGCAATGAATTTTTAAATTTTTCATCCTTTACTAATAAGAAAACACAGTAAGACCAAAGCAAATGGGGTAGAAACTAAACCATGAAAACCACAATCTTAATTTCCTAAGAAAGATTCCTAAATACTGGCTAGACAAATGGAAGAAGATAAATATTAGTAACTCATACATGAAGATATCAAGAAATACATGAAGCATCTGTACCTGATTTGTCCTGTAGTTCGTCTAGTCTCTCTCCTCTTTCAATTACCTTTGTGATATTTTCTTGCATAACATCAATAACTTCATCCACCTGATTCTGAACACTAGTTTAAAGGGAGATAAGAATGATTTATTCTTTTAGGAATGTTCACAGTTTTGAAACATACTAAATAGGGTAAATAGAAAATTCTCAGAGAATTACAGCTTGTCATTAAATTATAAAGCTTAAGTAAGCAATGTTCCATCTGTGGGCCTGCGTATACAAAGACAACAGGATATAAATTAAAGTAAATTTTGGCCTTGATTCTAATAATGTGACTCGGAGGCAAATTAAACATGTTGACAGAATGCTCAGTAACTGCAGAATTTAGTCAGCAGTGTGACTGTTTCATTTTCTTCTCAACAGACTGCTGAAGCACCACGTAAGCCCAAAAACCACAACCTACTGTTGCTATGTATTTCATGCATACAAGGGTTACTGAGGTGTCTGCTGAGGCATGTTAGAGGTTTATGAAAAACATTTCTTTTCCAAAATGGAAGCATAAGGCAAACTTCCTGATACTGAATGGATCTAAGCCTTCATTGCTCATTTGTTTTCTCTTAAATATAATTAGGATTTAAGACAAACTAGAATACCCAGAATATTTGGAAATGCCTACCAAGAAGCAAAAATGAAAAAAAAATCCATTTTCAAATGAAAATGTTTTCCTTATATTAGGTGATAAGAGCCTATTCTAATTCAAATTTCAGATTGTTCAATAAAACTAAACTGAAACAAGATGCAGAGTTAATGATTGGCCTTCGAAGCCAGGTGTGGTGGTACACGCCTTAATCCCAGCACCCAGGCAGAGGCAGACAGACCTCTGTGAGTTCAAGGCCAACATGGTCTACATAGTGAGCTCCAGGCCAGCTGGGACTGCAGGGAGACCCTGTCTCAAGAAGACAAAAAAAATAATAGTAATTGGCCTTCAACTGTCTACTGCTACTCAGGGGTTATGTCCAGAGAATTAAAAACACAGAAATGCTTACCTGAATCTCTAGTCACAGATAAGAGCCTATTTTACTTTATAAGTCTTGACAAAGAAATATTTAAAAGGAGGAATAATGTGAAGTTATGGTTCTTATAACTCGAAAAAATGTTTAAAATGCATTATTAGCAACTGTATATGTATATTTAAGACACTAAGAATATGCATTGTCTTGCGAGCCTGTGCGCAGAGGGGACCATTTATCACCCAGGGATCTTCCTTTTAAAACAAACAGAAATCACAACACACATCTCTTCTTTGACCTCTGCTTCACACTACCCTCCCCACTTCCAAATTAACCTAGACAGTTGGGGATAAAGGATCATGTGAAATTCTGAAAGAGTTCTAGCCTTTACTTGAGCTATTCAAATGTTTGTTTTAAAAACAAAGTCCCATTTAGACCTCAGTGGATTTAGAGGTAGTACTGTCATATTTAAGTAGTCAATTACTCTGTTAGACAGTATTGTCTCCCTCCTGTGTTAAAAGCATTATGCAAACCCACCAATTATCCACAAATAGCCTTCAGGATTCAGCACAGCTTCCCAGGGTTCTGCACTTCCTATACATTATTCTACCGAAAGCTCCAAGACTGAAGCTCAACCAGCATAGACAAAGAAACGGCCACTGAGTCTCCCAGAGATTTCTTACTGCAATTCCTAATGATCTAAGCAGAGGGCTAATGATGCTTCTCCTACCTAAGAGCAATGACATACATATTTGTGCAACTAATCAATTCATTCAAACAATAATGAGAACTATGTGCTACCTTAGGTACTGGGAATACAGGACAAAACAGTAATTAATTCCAACCCCCATGGAACTTATGTCTGTATGTACAATGAAGGCATTTCATTAACCTTAAAAGTTGAAAAAAGTCAGCTCAGTCACGTTTCCACTTAGGGCCTGAGTACAAAGGGGGAGTGCTTACTCACTTACCTACAATGTGCTCAGGGCAGAGCATTTAAAAAGATATGTGCTGAATAGGTGAACACTTTGCGCATAAATTCTGCAAAGCTGGGGCTGGAGAGAAGGCTCAGCAGTTAGGAGGACTGCAGTTCAGTTTCCAGCACCCACACAGTGGCTAACAACCATCTTTAACTCCAGTTCCTGGAGATCCAATGCCCTCTTCTGACCTCTGAGGGCACTGTACAACACAGGTGCACTTACACTCATGCACATTAAAAAAATAAACAAAAAAACAAAAAAGGGAGGCTGGAGAGATGGCTTAGTAGTTAACAGTGTTGGCTGTTCTCATAGAAGACCAGGATTCGAATCCCAGCACCCACATGGCAGCTAACAACCATCAATAACTCCAGTTCCAGGGGATCCAACAGCCTCTCTGTCCTCCACAGGCACTGCATGACATGGGTGCACTTACACACCATGTAGGCATAACACTCATATGCATAAAATAAAAATAATTTTTTAAAAAACAACAAAAAAAATCCTAAAAGCTGAATAAATAGTCATGGTCCCAGAATCACTATAAACCAAAAAATCCATGGATACGGACAGATTAGTTGAAACAAAAATGACAAAATTCTAGATTCCTGTTAAAATTTTTATGAGCATACATTAATTGTACAATGAAAATGGCTTCATTATGACATTTCCATACATGCAGTAGTGTATTTTGATCAAATCCATCCCCCACCACCCTTCTTATCCTCCCTCCCCACCTTTCCCTCTTCCACATTCTTTAACTTTTATGTCCTTTTTACCACCCCATGCCATCTACAAGAGAGAAAATGTGATACTTGTCTCTATGAGACTAGCTTCACTCAATGCAATTTTTTATAAACAACATAATCTGTTCTTCTTTACATCTGAATAGAACTCCATCTGCTAATGGGTACCTAGGCTGATTCCATAACACTACTGCTGTGGTAAAATGGGCACCATGCACATCTCTAGCATAAGCAGCCTTTGATTCTTTAGTTTTTTTTGTTAAAATATTTTTATTTTATGTGTAAGGGTGTACTGCCTGCATTAGTAGGTAGGTGCACCCATGTCATGCAATGCCTGCAGAGGTCAGAAGAGGGCGTCAGATCTCCTGGAACTGGAGTTACAGATGGTTGTTAGCCCACATGTGGGTGCTGACAATCGAACCTGGGTCCTCTGCAAGAGTGGTCAGTGCTCTTAACTGCTGAGCCATCTCTCTAGCCCCTCTTTGGGGTATTTATTGCCGGAAGTGATATAACTAGATCATATGAAAGTTCTACTTTTTTTGGGGGGGTCTTTTTGAGGCAAGGTCTCCCTGTAGCACCAGCTGGCCTACAATTCATTATGTAGACCAGATTGGTTTCGAGCTCACAAAGACCTGCCTGCCTCTGCCTCCCAAGCACTGGGATTAAAGGCATGCTGTGCACCACCACAACTGGTGAAAGTTCTATTTTTAACTTTTTTTTAAAGTTTTTTGTGAGACAAGGTCTCAGGTAGTCCAGGCTTGCCTCAAACTCACTTTGCAGCTGAGGATGAGCCTGAACTCTTTATCCTCTTGTCTCCAACTTTCAAGTGCTGGGGTTGCAGGTAGATGCCAACATACCTAGTATTATTTTTAATTTTTTTGAGGAACCTCCATGTTGCTGTCTGTAGTGGTTGGACTAATGGACACACCTATCAGCAGTATATAAGGGCTTCTTTTCCCCTGCATCCTCACTAACATTTGCTGTTTCTTTTCCTTGACAGTAGCCATTTCTGACTGGGGTGAGGGGGAATCTTAATGTAGTCTTGATTTGCATTTTTCCAATGGCTGAAGATGTTGTACATTCTGTTAATGGTTTTATTGGCTATTTGTACTTCTTCATTAGAAGTGTCTAGTCAGTTTGTCTTTTATTGACTAGATCAGTTGATCTTTTGTTATTTACTTAAATGTTTTATTTAATCTGGATATTAATCCTATGTTGGGTGAATGGCTGGCAAAGGTTCTCTCCCATTCTGTAGTCTTTCTCTTTACCTTGTTCTTCTGCTGCATAGAAGCTTTTTAATTTTATACAATTGTACTATCAATTCTTGCTTTTACCTTGAGCTATGAGAGCCCTATGCAAAGCCATTGCCTACAGATAGACCCTCAAGTGCCCCACTGTTTCCCTGTAGCAGTTTCAGTTTCAGGTCTTTCATGAAGGCCTTTTGACCCATTCTGAGTTGACTTTTTTGCAGGGTGGGAGATGGGAATCTAGTTTGTCTTCCACATGTGGACACCCAGCTTCCCCAGCATCACTTGTTAAAGAGGCTAGCATTTTTCCCAATGTATGTTTCTGACACCTTTATCAAGAATGAGATGTGGTGGCTGAGGCTGGGTGGGACTGTTTCTTTCTGGTCTTCTATTCCATTGGTCTATGTATCTGTGTCAGGGTCAATATTATGGTGTTTCTATCACAGTGGCTCTACCAGTTTGAAATCAGAATTCTCACACTTCTAACACACACTTTGCTCAGGACTGCTTAGGATATTTAGCTTCTCTGTTTCCATATGACTTTAGAATTATCTTTTTCTCTATTTTTGTGAAGAATGTTATTGGAATTCTAATGGGGAATGCACTGGATCTGTAGAATGCCTTTGATAATTCGGCAGTTTAAACAAGTAATCCATGAACATGTAAAGTCTTTTTCTCTTCTGGTGTCTACGACTCAATATGAAGGTCTTTAATATCGTTAGTTAACTATATGGCTAGGATTTTTCGGAGGGGAGGTTGAGGCTATTGTGAATAAGATTGTTTCCTGATTTGGCATTGGTATATACGAAAGCTAATGACTTGCAAAAAATTAATTAATTAATTTTTCCTACATGCATATATATGTATGTGGATGTGTGCAAGACACTGTGCACATGTGGATGTCAGAAGACAATTTGCTGGGGTCTGTTCTCTCCTTCCGCCACATGGGTTCTAGGGATAGAACTCAGGTTTTGTGGTAAGTGTCTTTACCTACTGAATCATCTTGTCAGTGCAAACTAGGAATTTCTGTATGTTGATTTTGTATCTTGCTACTTTGCTCAAAAGATCTAAGAGTCTTCTGGTAGAGTTTTTCAGGTTTTGTATACAGGATCATACCACACAATCATTTCAATAGAAGCAGACATTGACAACATTCAGCATCCATTCCTGATAAAATCCCTGAAGAAACTAGGACTAGAAGGATCATAACAGAGCTATATAGATGAGCTGTTACTAGCTTATCCTAAGTGTAGGGGCATGATCCCAAGAACATGGTGCACATGTCATGTAATAAATCTCTGCTCTACTAGGAAACAACACTTAAATTCACTTAGGAAGTGATAAACAATTACTTTTTCGCCATTAGATTACAATCTACTGGCCCAACACTGTACTATGTAACTTTTATTTGATGATGGAAAACCATGATTGTATATTTCAAGATGTTTCTATACCCCAAATACAACTTTTGTATAAGAAAAAGAAAATTATTATTGGGCTAGAGAGATGGCTCAGTGGTTAAAAGCACTAACTGTTCTTACAGAGGACCCGGGTTTGATTCCTAGCACTCACATGGTGGTTAACAACCATGTGTAGCTCCAGTTCCAGGGGATCTGATGCCTTCTTCTGACCTCCACAAGCACTGCATGACACAAGTGCACTTACACACATGCAGGCAATACACTCATACACATAAAATAAAAATAATAAAATATTTTTTAAAAAAAGAAAAAGAAAATTATCTTACTTGCTTTAATATTAAGGATAATTTTTAATAAAGGAAATGGTAACACACTTCCCCATGACCTTTCAGGTTTTCATAGTAACTATAGTCCTGACTTCTGTTTGTACTTTAAATTGGTCTTATTCCAATTATTATACTGGAAATTCATAGATACCATGTAGCCTAGATGAATTCAGCTTGGACCAGAGACGACATCAAGATCCTGAGATTAAGTCTCAAGGGATAAAGAATGAATTGGGCAGAGTAAAGGAGAGAATGGATAGTGGGAGAAATCTAGGAAAGGAAGACATATGTAAGAGGAAGGAACTGAGTGACTAACCAAATGTGAGCCAAGAAACTGGGGACACCAAAGGGTGGAGAAGTAGATCTGTAATCTAAGCAACTGGGGGGTAGTAGAAATATATGAATATTAATTGGAATAGGAAATTAAGAACTGAAAGGAAAAATAGCTTTTGGAAGAGGTGTGGAGATTTCTGCCATGGCCTCAGAGTCTTACGGAAGAAGAAAGCCTGTGAGGCATTTTTTATATATTTTTTAAATGAACTCCCCTTAGAGTCTGACAACCTGTGTCCTTGTAATGTCTTTATTCTAATTACCAACAGGGAAGCTGCATGGTGTTCTGTAGAGCTCTTGAGTTTTATATTCAGACAGGCTTTGCAATTCAACTTATCATATAGTATTTATGTAAGTTACTTGCAAAAGCTTTTTCATCTATTTTCTCACTTTTAAAATGAAGATGATAATTTGTCTCACTTGCGAGAATTAAATGTAACAGTTTATAACAGTTTTTCGAATATTTCATAGTGCATAATGCTTAACATGTACTCGATAATGTCAGTGTTCTTCCATTAAGAAAAAACTCGTATTCTGCAAAACACACACATTTCATTCCTTATATAAAAACATTAATTTTCAGTTAACATCTCCATCTTGTGGCCTTTTAGGGTACTGTTAACAAAGGAAGTTTTTGTTTTAGTAAATTACTATTTATTTGCTTTGTATGTATGTGTGTACATATGTGTGTGTACATGTACCAAAGTGTACATTCCAACCAACTTGTGGAAGTCAGCCCTCTCCTTCTACTATGTGGGTATTGGGAATGAACTCCAGTCCTCAGGCTCAGTGGCAGGTACCTTTTCCCACTAAGTCATCTCACTGACCCTGACAAAAGACCTTTTATAGTCATGTTGTGCATGGTGGCACATGCCTTTAATCCCAACACTTTGAGGCAGAAGCAGGTGGATCTCTGTGAGTTTTAGGCTAGCCTGGTCTACATAGCAAGTTCCAGGCCAGTTGGGGCTATATGGAGACCCTGTCTCAAAAAGAAAAAAAAAAACTTTCTCTTTAAAATATAATTTTTAAGATTTATTTTTAATTTAGCTGCCATGTGGGTGCATGGGTGCTGGGAACTGAAGCTGGGTCCTCTGCAAGAGCTGCCAGAGCACTTAACTGTTGAGCCATTGAAGCTCAAATTATGTTCTTCTTTTGCAACTACGTGTGTGTGTGTGTGTGTGTGTGTGTGTGTGTGTGTGTGTGTGTGTGTAAAATGCTGTCATATTATGGAAAATTCTTGGATGCTTTAAAAAATTGAAGCTCCTTGGACTAAAGTGATAGGAGTTTCCTCATTGTTCTAGTTTGTTTCCCCATTGCTATGACAAAACATTCTGACCAATACCAACTTGGGGAGGAAAAGGTTTACTTGGCTTATATCTCCTGTGTCACAGTTCATCAGGGAGCCTAAGGTAGGAACTCAGGGCAGAAACCTGGAGGCAAGAGCTCAAGCACAGGCGCCATGGAAGACTGCTGCTTACTGGCTTGCTCCCCTGACCCCTGCTCAACCTGCTTTCTTATACAACATAGGCCTACCTGCCCAGGGGTGGCACCACCCAATGGGCTAGGCCCTCCCACATCACTCAATAATCAAGAAGATGCCCCACAGACATGGTCACAGGCCAGTCCAAAGGAGGAAATTCATCAATTGAGACTTCTTCTATCTAGGTGTGTCAAGTTGACAACTAAAGCTATCCAGCACACTCATCCATGACAAAGAATATCTAAAATTTATCTAAGCACATGGGTGCTATTATTTAATGTAAAAGCAAAGAAACATTCTGACAGTCGTAAATTTTAGCCAGACCTAGTGGCTTAGTAATCCAAGCAGAGAGCTGAAGTAGGAGGAACTCAAATTCAAGATCTATCTGGTTAACTTAGCAAAAGTTAGGTCAAAATAAATTTAAAAAAGGTTGGGATACAGCTTAATGGTAGAGCTCTTACCTAGCAAGCATCAAGCCCTGGGTTCAATCCCTAGGACTACAAAAATAAATGATACAATGAGATAAAATAATAAATTTTATATAAGCAAATAAATATTTAACCTTTCCCTAAAAATATCTCCTAAAAGTGATGTGGATATTTTTATATTAGTCTGTAATGAAGTTTAATAATTAATAATCAAATTCCAATAATATAACGATGTTGTTGGGCCATGTAGCCAAGAAACACTATTGAAATATTATAAATTAAGTGTTGATAACACATCTTAAAGAGAATTTCTAGTTTGGATACTAGCGTCAGGGAATTTTTCCTTAAGTATATAGCACAGCAAGCTGTACCTTATCATTTTGCGCACACTGGTGAGCCACATCATAGTAGATTAGCATTCACAAGGCTGGGCCATCAATCTTTAATTTGCTTATTTGATGACTGACTGCTAATTAAATCTGGCCATCCTTCAGCTCTAGAGTAAGAACCATTACACTTACTTAACTCATTATTATGAAAAAATTCTGTGATTGTCAAAGTTAGTGTAGTAGTTTACATATGTATGTATACATGGCGTGTGTGTATATGATTGATTTACGATATTCAAAAAACCCACTAGGCCATATTCTGTAGTAGGTTCACTCTGTAGAAGCATTATGAAACAGGAAACAAAGTATACTGGCAGAATAAAATCCAGGTGTATCATCAGCAGATTCCTCCAGTGACACCTTAGGTAAGAGAACAAACCCATGTGGATGGACACATAGTCACTCTGGCTCAGAAGAGGTGAATGGCTCAGCAATTATATTCTGGCACTGTTACAGATATCCTTATATGCACAGATATCCTTATATGCACAGATATGGAATGCCTGGTGATTGAGAGAAGCTTGTGAGGCTATCTCTACTCAGCTCTGTCTACCTGGTACTGATGAGGCATGAAGCTTCTGTAGGCTTTATTTGTACATTATAAAAACTACTTAATTGCAGCCTAGCAATAGCCGCTTTGTAACAGGGTATTCTATGGCTGGTATTGAAGTTGCTGGTCCCTCTGGTACAATGGTACTAGAGCTACTGCCTTTGGCTACTTTTCCTTTTTCCATATAAGTAATATTGTCACAATCTAAAAGAGCTTGTATTACAATGGCGAGGATTACAGGTATATGCCACCATACCCATCCAACAAACATTTTCTATAAAAGACAAGAGAGCAGATGTTTCTGCTTTTGTAGCTATAAGATCTCTCTACCCCAGGTTTCTGTCACAACTACTCAGCATTGGTATTACAGCTCAAAAACAGCTACAGATAATATGAAAGCAAATGGACATAGTCTGTGTCCCAATAAAAAACCATGCTTATAGAATAGACTATGGTCAGATTTGACTCACAGGCTGTAGTTTGACAACCACTGGTCCACACAGAAGTAAGACAATCATTTAAACAAATGAGAATTCAAGAACTTACTGCTTAATTTTATCATTTCTAGGTCCAAATCTTGGTCCAGACGGTCCCCTTCTGAAAATAAAATACCCAGAATATGTTAGTGATGACAGCATCACACAAATATGAAAACAAGAAACACACATCCATATGTGCAATCAAGCTGGATTCTAAATAATGGATCATCATTAATCATAAGGAACCACATTTTACTGGTATTGATAGAACTGAATGATAAATAATCATGTCTATACATCACTGGTATTTTGTTGGCTATAATCTAATTCTTATGAATGCTAAAACCTTTCTGAGGAATTATGAATTATATAATCTTCAGTGATACCTTTTTACTACTCATTAAATTCTGAAAAACCATACCACATTAACTAAGGTGTGAGCATCTATAAATACCTTCATGATTGATTCTTGAACTAAAGGATGTGATTCACTTTGAATTTAGGCTATGATGAAATGCTGACTGAGAGAAAATTTTATTCAAAACATTAAAACTTTGAAGTATGCAGGCTGGAGAGATGGCTCTGCAGTTAAGAGCACTGGCTACTCTCAGAGGACCTGGGTTTGGTTCCTAGCACCCACATGGTAGCTAACAACTGTCTATAACTCCAGCTCCAGGTGATCTGACCCCTTCTTCTGGTCACCTCAGGTGCTGCATGCAGTGGTGCACTTATATACATGTAGGTAAAACATTCATACACAGAAAATAAAAATAAATATAAATGTTAAAAAATTTGAAGTATGTTTTTTGGTTATCTATCTCAAAAATACCAACAAGGCAAAAGGAAAATGGAGGCGTGCAAGAAAGGGTTAACTTGAGTTCTTAATATTATCTCATTATAGTCAAGTCACCTTCATCATCCATTTCAATATTCTAAAAATGGAGACTTTTACATATTTTAATTAACATTTTTCTGAAGATAGAGAATAAGATATAAAGGACAAAATTCAAAAGAAACTAGGTTCTTAATTTTTAGACATATGGCATTTTCTAAAGGTAGAAAAAGAATATGCAGTTGATAAGAAAACATTGTTGGAGGGGGAAAAGTCACATTGTTCATTAAAACAATGTAATTTATAAGTATGAAAATGTCACCTTGCCTTAAGTTCTGTAAGCTTTTATCCTTAGACTTTAGAGGTCCAACTAAGTATTTGAATACTGGATCAGTATTCTATTCCAAAATGACAAGTTAAACACTGAATTTTATAAAGAAAATGAATATTCTGACTCAGAGAATCTATAAATGAATCAACTGACAAGCACGGAAAAGCAGTCATTACATGAGGAAACCACAAAATGAGATACATAGTTGAAAATTATTAGGTTAAAATCATCCCAACCGTAGGCTAAGAAAAAGGAGATAGCTATGGTTGTTTCAACAAGCAAGTAGCATGAGGCTTTCAAGTACTAAAAGAAAAAGAACTAAAGCAGGTTCTTTGAAAATTAAAAACTGATAAACATCCAGTCAGACTGTTTGAGAGAGAGGGAAACCACACAAATTACTAAATAAGAACAAACTGGGGGAATTACTATAGTTCAATGTACAAAGTTTATGCATATTTTAAAGGAAGCTCAGTGAAGGGTAAACAGCATCTCTGAACTATCTCTGCAATTCTTCTGTAAGGACATAATTATTTTAAATCAAAAGTTAGGGGCTATAGAGATGGCTCAGAAGTTAAGAGTAGTAGTGCTGTTGCAGTGGACAGGAGTTGAGTTCCCAGCACCCAAGTCAGCTCAGGACCACCTGTAACTCTGGCTCCAGGAGATCCAATATCTCTGGCCTCTGTGGGGACCTGCATTCATACACACATCCCTCTGCCAATACACGTAATTAAAAAGGAAAAAATAAATATAAATTTTAAAAAATCAAAAATAAAAGATCTCCCACAAAAAAATTCTAGAGCCAAATACAGTTAATAATGAATTTTACCAAATACTCAATGAAAAAAAAAAATTCCAAGTCTGTAAAAACTCTTCTGGAAAACTGAAGATAGAACATTTCCCAATTATTTATACAAGGTCAGCAATACTCTAGGATGAAAACCAAACACAGTCATAAAAAGGAAAAGGTATAACTACCAGCTAACAGTTACTTTCCTTGAACACAGATATAAAAATTCTTCATAAAGTTCATAACAAACTGATTCTAACAATGACTTAGGATAATACATGACAACCAAACAGGGCTTATCCCAGGAATGTAAGGTTGGTTTAAAATCTTAAAATCAGTCAATGTAAGTTATCACATTACCAGGCCCCCTCACCTCAAAAAGATACATGTTATCATTTCAATAGATGCAAAAAAACTCTGACAAAATAAAACATTAATTAATGATTTAATAAAGATCTTTGCAAACTTAGAAGGGACCTTCCTCAATCTGGTG